GTTATGCCCTCTTTTGTCTTAATCTCTTTAAAATAAAAAAAATTTTTTAAAGAACTTCCTGTTTGGAGAGTGCTCTCCAGAAATATATGCTCCTGTTCAAAGACAAAAGGACTAGAATAGTCAGAAAGCACACAATGATGTTACTCGGATATAAAACAGTGTTGTGTTAAAACTACGTTGTTAAATCTTCTTTGGTGATTGATACGTTTCACCTCTATGTGGAAACACCAAACTGTGTGCTACCGGGGCGTCTTTTTCCAACTCCCCGCTCACACTGAAAGCCCAAAATCGCACAGTACAGCTGGCTTCCTGCCACATACACTGGCCAGTGCTACGAAATGAAGGCTTCTTCTTTTCTGGGGAGCCTGCTACTCTACACTTACCAGCACACCACGGGAAGAGGGAGACTGCGGCGGGGACTGGGAAACGATGCTTTAGATACTCACGGCTTTCCTGCACTGAGCCACGAGTCAGAAAACATATTTGCTGGCGTGTTAAAGGCACTCTCCTCAGCAGAAGGGATACGGAAATAGACAAGATGCATAATACATCCTGCCTCCTTACAGTTTAGATTCTACTGAAGAGAGGGCTGGGGATTTAGCTCAGTGGCTTAAGCACCTGCCTGGCAAGCGCAGGGTCATGAGTTCGATCCCTGGTACCCCCTCCAAAAAAACCCCAACAGTTTCTATTAGAGAAACGGACATTTAAGAGCTCAAAAGGAATGCCCAATAGATACAGGGAAAAAATGCTCAATATCTGTTAAAAACATACAAATTAAAACAACACTAAAACCAGGAAAAAATGACTATCTTCAAGAAATAATATAGTAAGAAATGCTGACAAGGCTACAAAGGAAAAAAAGAACATTTATACACTGTTGATGGGAATGTAGACTAAAAAATCACTATGGAGATCAGTGTGGGGATTCCTCAAAAAACCAGTTAGAAATTCCATTCGACCTAGCTATTCCCCTTCTAGGCATCCTCCCAAGAGCTAAAAACACCGTATTACAGTGATACACGCATACCAGCAGCATAACTCATAATTGCTGAATTTTGGATATGGCCTATGTATCCATCAACACATAAATAGATAAAGAAAATGTATTTACACACAGTGGAACATCATCTTGCCATAAAGAAGGATAAATTTCAGTCATTTGTAGGAAAACTGATACACCTTGAGACCATAATGTTATGAAATAAATCAACCACATAAGCTGAAATATCACACGGCTGCTCTTCTGTCAGAAGTTGAAAGATAAAGAAAGACCAAAATAAAAACTAGCAACAAGAAGTAGGAAGCTAGATCTTTTGCAAATAGGAAAGGGACCAAGAGATGGAGCAGGCAGGGAAGGGAATAGAAAAAGAATTAAGATGTGTTATATACAAGTGGCAATTTCCTACAAGGAATGTGATTTTTATGTACTACAGATATATATTAATAAAAAATAAAAGTAATTCTTATATAGGTGGTAACACAATTTGGAAAAAGTGAGAGAGGGAGTTATAGGTCAGGGCTGGGAGAGTTGCTTACAATTTAGACAGGGTAAGCAAGACAGGCCTGGCTGAGTAAACGCTTTAAGGATCTGACAGCACAAATACATGGCCTTCGGGCAAAGAGTATCCTAGGAAGAGGCCAGCAAGGGTAGTGAGTGGAGAATGACCATGCCTGGCATTCAAAGAGCAGGAGCAAGGAATTCCATGAGGACCGTGGAATGAGAGGGTGAAATTAACAGGAGACAAGGAAGGGGAATCAGGGAGGCCCTTGTAAGCTACTGTACTGTACTGTGATGAATGCTGTGGATGGTGTTGAGTAGAGATCGTAGCCCACTTTCTGCAGTAATAACAAAATACCCGAGACTGGGTAATTTATTTAAACTATTTCTTTCTTCTAGCCCCGGAGGCTGGGAAGTCCAAGTACATGGAAGCAGCATCTGTTGGACATCTGGTGAGAGCCTTCTTGCTGCATGATGACATAGCAGACATGTCATATGGTGAGATGAATAACTCTGGGCTCTCTTCCTCATCTGACAGAGCCACTTAAGATGCCATTGTAGGGGCCCCACCCTCACGACTTCATCTAATCATAATTACCTTCCTAAACTCCCATTTTCTTTCTTATTTTTTTAAGATAGTAAAACCCAACAAAACAAGACAGAACAAAGCAGATTAAGACAATGCAGAAAAATTGGTACAGGAATTCAGAGCAGGATACCAGGAAAACAATAATAGCTACCATAGTATATCTTGTTATCTTTGCAATAGCTGTCCATTCCATCAGGTATGGAAAAATCAAACCAAAACCAAAACACTATAAAACAAATCAAAACAGTATTGAATAAAGCAAAACAATCAGAACAAAGCAAAACAGTAAAAACAATATTGGTCTTCAAAGACAAGATAAAAGGAAATCCTCCATATTTGCTATATTGCATGCTGTTATCCTCCAGAATGATGCTCAGACGGCTGGCCCCAGGCCTGCATAATCAACTCAACAACACAAGCATTTGGTCGCTTTATGTACCTTGGTTGCTATCAGCTCAGGCTGCCCTCGGAATCATCCAGATGCTAACATAGGGAGTGGACAGAGTTTGATACTCAGCCTGTGTGCTGGCAGGCTCACGAGAGGAGCTGACTTTTCTTTCCCCTGAATGCAAATGGCTCGCGCTGCTTACCAGGAAGGCGGCTGGCTGATTTCTTGGTTGGTCCCACAAACTAAACTCCCATTTTCAAAAACCATTAACAAGTGGATTTGGGAATTAAGTTTCTAACACAGAGACTTTTAGAGAACACATTCAAACCATAACCCCTGGCATGGCCCACTAATGCTTTAGCAAGATCACACTGCCTGCTGGACTGAGGATAGACTGGAGAGGAGTCCCTCAAAACTGTGTCCAGCCTGCTCTTGCAATATCATCTGGCAGTGATCACAGATTTAAGCCCTACTCTCCAAAAATATCAAAAACTAGAAAAGACAAAATAGAGCTGGACATGAAAATTTCCCAATAAATAAGAAAAAAATTAAATTGCAATTTGCATTTCTGACAGGAGGGAAATCTAGTGGACCCAAGTTGCCATAGGAAGAAAAAAGCTAATATTAGTAAGTTAAAAATAACCATGCAATACAAAGCGTGCTAGGATAATTAGCCTTGAAAAGGGGTTGCCCCAGTGATCTCATTACATTTCCTCCAACAACTTTCCAAAGCTGTGGTAGATGAAGAACAGGAAACCATTCGGTTGCCAGCACAATGGTCTGGTTTGAAAAGCCTATAATGTAAAAAAAAAAAAAATGGCAGAGTCCAAAAACCTCAAGATCAATTAGGTGACAGTTAAGGTAAATGACAAACACTATTGTTCTAAACTTAGCTTTCCTGGGATGCTGTCCTATCATGCTGTGTCCTTCACTATATGTGAGCTGCTGGTGACCTGGGACAACCACCGTATCCTTTGGGGTGGAGATAGTGTCCTTTAAATTGCATAGCACACTCACTTTAGATGCAGATGCTAGATGAGGTTTTTTCCCTAAACTGCATTGGTGGAAACCAAGACCCACTGCTTGGAGGAGTAATGCTTTGAGGCAGGCAGTGATAGTTTTTCACTATGCCCACTAACTTGTGTGAGCTAAAACAAAAGCCAATTACCCTCCAAGATCAAAACTTCCAGATGCTTCAATTTGGACTTAGAATTTAATTTGGACTTAGAATTTTAATTTGGACTTAGACTTATGAGCTGACTTTCGCCCTCCCCCATTGGTGTCCAGTGAAGCTAAATCAACAGCATTTCTAAGTAATGGAAAGTTACTTAAATCTTTCTCTTATGACTCTTTTCCATTTATAACCATTGTGATCATTTTCTGGCTGGCCACAAACACATTTCTTTTAAAATGGAATGCCCCATAGCTCATTTTGAGCTATTTTTCTCATCCTATTTATTGACCTCTATCCCTTTATCTCATTCCCTTGGAAGCTTAAACCTCAATTCCATAAAACAGCAAAAATTAAAACTGACCCCATTTGGAATGAGGTCATATTGCTGAAGTTTTTCTCAGATTACATCATGATTTGAAAATACCAGTGTTGTCTAAAAAATGACTAGAATCAAGGTGTGACCATGTTTGAACCCCCTGGCATCTGCAGTGGTCACCAGAGCACACACAAGCAATACCATTCCTTCCCTGTGTCAGCTGCTTACTGCTTTGACTGTGCCCTAGGACAGACCACCCTGTCCTCTCTGGGTATTGAGGCCAGGTTCCATCCCTCAGTAATGATGAGCAGTTCTTGCTAATGGTTCTTTTCCAACATTATTTTGACATATTCAGATTTTTCCTAAATTCAGGATTTAAGATAAAGCAAATCATTACCATGCCTGTAGTCACAGCACTTTTGGAGGCTGAGGCAGGAAAATCAAAAGTTCAAGCCCAACCTAGGAAACTTAGTGATTATCTTGGTTACTTTTTTCTCATTGCTGAGACAAAACACTCAACACCCAAAATGAAGAAGGAAAGGTTTATTTAGCTCACAGTTTGTGGAGGTTTCAGCCCATCATCAGCTGGCTCCAAGGCAGGGTGGCAAGGCACAGGGGCAACACTTCAAGGCAGCAGCCAGCAAAAGCAGCCAGAACAACAAGAGGGAGAACAATCCTCTCCTCCTCCCTTATATTGTATGCAGACCACCCTCAGCCACCCCAGAGCAGAGGTAGCACTCACAAAATCTCCTTGCCCTCCTCTTGCACAGGAGGAGGATTCCCTGCCAAGTCTCTTAGTTAAACTTCTAAACTTCTCAAGTTGACACAGTATATCAACCATAACCGTGACTTAGCAAGATCCTATCTCAGAATTAAAAAACAAATTACTGGGGATGTAGCCGGTGAGAAGGCCCTGGTTTCAATCCCAGTAACACCTCCCCCCAGTTCAAAACAGTCTCTCCCTGAGTCCCTAAACCCCTTAACATCTGTGTCTCTCACAGCCTAGCGTCTAGAATGACAAAAATGATTGAGAACCTGCGCTGTCTCCAGGCAAACAGATCCTGAAAGGGAAGGCTGCAGAGGGGCCTCCTCCCTCCTCAAGCTCATTCCCAGTCGATTCGCTTTCCATTTGTAAAGGGGAAAAAGCTGTGAAGCAAGAGCCTTGAGGAAAACGCTGTCCCACTGGAAATCAGAGGAGTGAGCAGGAAACGTTCCCCTCTAATAGTGAATTGTTTATTTTCAGGAAAAGCAAAAAGATGATGGGATAAGAACGTGCGATGGCAGGAGAGCCTTTTTTTGAAATGTTCAGAAAAGGGTTTTCCTGAGAAGTGGTGTTTGTGCGTCAATCACGCAGCGACTGGGAAGGACATTCTAAGCTGCAAGAGTGAGAAGGGAAAGGCTCTGAGATGGGAATAAAGTGGATGTCAAGGAGCAGGCGGAAGTCAGAGGGCCAGCACGGTGGAAGAGGCTGAGTAATGCCCTCCCACAAAGTGTCCCCATCCTGGTTCCCGAGACCTGTGAATATGTTACCTTTCAGATGCGGCCAAGTTGAGGATCTCAAAAGGAGAGATTAACCTGAATTTTCTTTCTTTCTTTTTTTTTTTTTTTTTTTTTTTTTTTTTTTTTTTTTTTGGTACCAGGGATTGAACTCACGACCTTGCACTTGCAAGGCAGGCCCCTTAACCTGAATTTTCTATCTGGACCCTAATATAATCACAGGATCCTTGAAAGAGGAAAGTAAAGGAGTCAGAGGGAGAAGCCAGAGAGGGAATCACACTGGCCGAGGACTCCAAGTGGCCTTTGAAAGCTAGAAAAGGCATAGACCCTCACCTAGAGTTTCCAGGAAGTTTGCAGCCCTTCCAAACTGATTTTAGGACTTCTCCAGAACTGTGCAAGTTAAAGATTTGTACTGGCCAGGACAGGAAAGCTTATGGTAATTTGTTACAGCAGTGATAAACTAATACCAACCAAGTGAACAGGAGGGGAGTGTGATAGATGAGGTCCACTGGTTTGTCTAGGGCTGGATTATGCTGGCCCTTGCAGGTTATAATAGAACCAGAGTTTTTCTGGGAGGCCATGAAAATGGTTTGAGTAGGCAACTGATGATTTTTACCCTGTGCTTCAGATTTTTCTGGCTGCTATGCAGAGAAAGACTTGGGATCCGATGTTGCACTGGTTTAGCTGTCTAGGTTTTTTTAAAATTGCATTCTGTAAGTGACCTACAGAGACAGGTATATCAGATGTTTGAAGCTTTATCTTTTTACACCTATAGATTAGATTCTAAAGTTGAAAAGTTGCATCCTGTCAAAACAAAATTGTGAGAAAAACACCTCTTAAAGTGTGCAAGAGCAAGGGACAGAGGGACAGACGGAGAGAGTTTGATGTATGATGCTTCCCAGGTTATGATCATCTTTGTGGGAATATCACAGCAGTAACCCTGATTGCTTCTCATTATATGAGGATCTATTATTAATGATACTAATTTTCATCACTTAACTAAGGTGATGTCTGCCAACTTCACTGTAAAGCTACACTTCTCCAGCCATAATATATATATATTTAAAATATATGATACATAATGTATGTTTTATAAGGAAGCATATTGAGATTACGTTGATATCTTGTCCCTAATCAGCATTTCAATTTGTTCATTTATTGATTTATAACATATTGATTCAAGGTTCTATTTTATCCGGTGGATTTTCATCCATTGCTAGCAAACTGACACCTCCTCCGTTGGTGTAAGAAGCTACATCCGGCTTACCGCGCACTTTCCTTACCTCAGCTCTGGTATCAGCCGCTTCTCCAAAGGGTCCTAGAGCCTGGGTTCTTTCAGTGAAGATTGGTCTTTAGAAGTCAAGAGCTCGGTGCATAATGAAAACTATAGTCACAGGGCCAGGGATTTAGCTCAGTGGCTTAAGCGCCTGCCTAGCAAGTATGAGGTCGTGAGTTCAATCCCCGGTACCAAAAAAAAAACTACAGTCACAGGAATAGCTCTATCCCAAACTAACAATAGAAAGTGCTTCTGTTTCTTCCCCATCCATTTGCATAACTTCCTTCTCTCTAACAGTGAGAAACGTGGCTCCCACCACCCCCAGCATCCTTTCCTATTGCAACAGCCCATCCCACCTCCACCCCGGCCTACCCCAGCAGGTCCTCACCTGCTCAGGCCCTGACACTGCCCTGCAGCTCACCCTCCCATCTGCATGTCCTCCTGGTCCTACATGAAATGCAGCACCAGCTGCCACCCTTTCCCTCCACGTGAGCTCTGAAGCATGTGCTGGGTTCCTGTAGAATTGTGACCACACCTTACCCAGGACCTCACACTCATGGTAGGTCCCTGCACTCCCTGGTGGTGAACATGTCCTCCCCACCCAAACACCCTCTCTTAATTATTTTCTCAAGAGTAAGATACAATACCGAATATCCACAACTGCATGGAAGAAAGGTTTATGTTGGCTCTAAGTTTGTGGAGGATTCAGTCCATCAGCAGCAGAGTCCAAGGCAGGGCAGCAAGGCAGAGAAAGAGCTCATGGCATGACAGTGGGAAACAGAGGGATCAAAGAGGAGGAGGGAGGGAGACCCTTCCAAGCCACACCCCAGTGATCCACCTCCTCTGACCAGGAATCATCTCCCAAATCACTTTTAGCTATAAATTCCCCAGTGGTCTCATCCATTGATCAATATCACCCCCTCATGATCCCATCACCTCCCAAAGTCTTTCCTATGAACTCATGAGGCTTGGGGAGACATCTAGATGCAAACCCTAACACACCCCATCTTAGGCTGCCTCTCTGCCTTCTGTTCTGCTTAAACTCCCCCAGATGCTCTCCTAAGCATGGCGCCACTCTGGAGCCCTGCAGAGAAACATAACTTTCCAGGGCGCGGCCTTCTCACAGCACGTTCAGCTTAAAAACACTGCTGAGCCTAACGCCCACCTTATTCTTGGGGTTGCTGCCCAGTGCTTAGGAGTGCTTCGGTGCTGGTAATTTTTGCAAGGATGTATCCCTCTTCCCTGTGCAAGATGGAGCAAGTACAAGTGGCCAGGCACTGTGGGCCAACACCAGCATCTCTGCCAGTGCCTGGGCCAGGCCTAGGGCGTTCCTTCCCTGGGTCCACCTGGCCCAGGAGCCAGATGCCTCCTGGGTCCAGGCATCTTCAAGCAGTGGCTCCGCCCATTGTCCTGCTTTCCTCAAGTGCTCCTGAAGCCCTTGTCCGTCCAATGCTCTTGGTCCGTACCGCTGCCCTTGATGGGCTGTTGCTGTCTCCCCACAGACCATCTTGCCAACGGTCTTCATTGTTGTAGGCTGCTGTCTTCCCCCAACCCCAAGCACAGAACCTGGAACCCCGCCCAGCCTGTAGTCAGCCAATCACAGCTCACTGCAGGCAGGTGTCAACGGTCTCCCAGCAACCACCAAGACCATGGCCTAGACCTGGGAGATCTCAGTCCATCCATTCATACATTAACTTTTTCTTACCAAGGACAGAGGCCCAGGCTTTTATGCTGACCTAAAGTCACAGCTCTTGTGTACCGACATTCCTCATTTAACAACTGAGTTCTGTTTCATGGCCAGGTCCTTAACTGAATGGGTTGCTAAATAAGAATTGCATATAGTATGTACATTACAATATTCGGAGCCAAGAACTGGTCAAAGGAAGCTCCAGCTTGATAACTTTGCTTTTAACTGCATAACTTTTAATGACAATGCTGTAATATATATCAGAACACAAAACTACAGCATAGTACTGTACAGTACAATCAGCAAAAATTACAGTACTGTATAAATAAGGTACACTGTACAAGGTATACTGTACATTCAGGCTTTATAAACAAAGTATACCAAATTGTACAAAAAATAATAATATAGAAAGTCCAAAAAGCAAGATTGTAAACTCAAACCGGCATAAAACTATAGGGCAAACTTCCAGGAAAATGGCAGAGTGGTAAGAAGCAGAGAAAAAAATCTCTCCAAGTTTGGTGTCCAGACTGTAGAATAAAGCCATAAAACAGTAGGCCGTTAAACGGGGAATATCTGTATTTCATCTTCATGGTGGATGCGTGCTGCTCCAATTTCTGCTTTCAGCCATCATTGACAAGGCCCAACAAAGTCTTCCACCAAGAACTGGAAAAATTAGATTTCATTTGAAAATCACCTCATTAAAGGCCTCAGAAAGCTACTAAAACAGCCAGAATTGAAAGCCCAAGCTCTTATCATTGAGCTCTTCCCCAAAAGCCGATCCCAAGAGAGAGATTTGAATGTAAGATAGTTCTGGGAAAGATTGGCAGGGAAGCAGGAGAACAGAACAAGGAAGACAGCCAGAGATGAGTTGAGTGATACAGTCGTGGGCCCCCAGGAGTTAGTGAAGCTTCAGTCACTAGGGACTTAAGACGTTCTTGACCTCAGTCACCCAACCCAAGGATTAAGACTACTGAGCTATTTATATTCCGACTTCCTATCCCCAGACCTTCATGACCTTAGTACCAAACCAAGATACTTATGCTACAAGAAAAATTGTAGGCCATTCTCTTGTACAAACCTAGTTGCAAAATTTCAAAACAAAATATTAGCCGATTTGTATGGTTGAGATCCACATTGTCTACACAAACTCTCTTGTGAAGATGACTGGGTCATGGGGGTGCTGGGCTCATCAATGGGTTTGTCAATGGATTCATGCAATGGAGAATCCACAGCCAATGTCACTGTTAGAAACTGGGGCTTGGTGGAAAGAGACAGCCACTGGGGTGGGACCAGAAGGTGATTCTGTCTCTCCCTCCCTTGCTCCTCCCTTGTCTCTCTGCTTCCTGGCTGCCTTGGGATGAGCACCTCTTTCTCCGCCATGCTTGTCTGCTGAGGGTCATAGATTAACTTAATCTAGTTTAACCTTAGTAACCCAGGGACTTTGGGCTCTACCAGGCCATTTGACTGTTTGTTCTGGGGGAGGTCTTACAAATGCACTGTGTCTAAGGGAATGAATGCGGGACCTTAGTCTCAGTGAAAAGCTGCTGGGACAAGACAGGATGCTTTGCCAAGATAATTCCAAAAGAATATATCCAGGTATAGCCAGAGATAGGGTAGTAAAATAATTAAGTTCTCACTTATCTGTACCTTACCCCTCCCATTTCCCACTTCTACTTTTTATAAAGAGATGATTCTAATAAATAATAAGAGAAAACTACGATCGAGGATTGAGCCCTAGAGACTGTGGCCCCCAATCCCGTAACTTTGTCTCTCTCTTGTCTTCTTTCCACCCTCCGCATCTTGTTTTCAGGGCCTGTCTTGTCAAAGATACTCTGCTATCGTTTCTGCCTTGGAGCCAGCCTTCCGTGGACTGAAACTGAGCCAAAATAAACCTCTTTTCCTTCAACGTGTGGCTCTTGGGTATTTTGTCACAGTGGAAAAAAAAGGACAAAGACACAAATCAAATCTAGCCTTCTTCCTTCCAAGATAGAACATCACTGTGTTGGGCAGGCTGGACTCAAAATGTGGACAAAAGGAATCCTCCTATCTCTGCCTCCTCAAGTAGC